GGTGTATGTAAAGGAGTTACATAACACATGACTTCTCCAAAATCAGATTTCACGGCATATTGCATCGCCTCCTTGCGTCTAGTTGCCAGAGGGAGCATTTAAGCGGGCCATGGATTTATGCTACCTGGTTTTGGAATAGTCAGGCGTTATCTGACCTACTTTAGCGTAGGAAGAATTTATGATATTATTTTCACCTGGCATACTGTTCAATGCAAGCTAACTTCTTGTTACTGACCCGCTCATCAAATGTTTTCTTCCTCATGCGTTGTTTGGTAAAAAGTCCGTTCGCTTTTTCAAGGAGGCAATATCGTCTGCGTTTTTCGATTATGGTCCATGGCATTTTCTGCGTTAAGTTGTTCTCAATTCGCTTACATTTTAGCCGCCCATTAACCCGTGTATTTCAATAGTAGTACAGAGAGATCCTCAACGGTGGTACAGAGAGGGAAAGAACCTTTCTGCTGCACACTGCCAGAGTCGAGTCGTGAACGAATTGGCGCTAAAGCCCAGTTAGAAAATCAGTGGCCAAATTGTGACTTGGCTATTGTGATAGGGCCTAAAGGCAATCGGAAAACTGCTCATAATGTTTCTATCATTGGTACCGTGCACTTAACACAGTCATATCTGAGAACAGAACAAGGTGTAGCGGCCGATTCATGTTCATGACAGTCTGTCTATGCCCTGCCTCGTTACGTCAGTGTTGTTACACGGCTGAAAACATGTAACATGAACTACGATTCAGCTGTGTATGACAACTTCGACTTCGCCGTATAATGGGAGTTACATAGCAGGGCCACGTCACATATCAGTATTCTGTTTGCAGCATAGGTGACTTTAGTAGATATGATAAATAATAAAATTAGGTTGCTCCTGTTGAACTGTCTATCTTTCGCTAGAGCCCGCTAGCGTCTATACTGGCTGCCGAAACACGGCTGACGTTATCCAAAAGACCAGATGTCGTGTTTCATGCAGGAACAAGACTGAGGCAGATATGTTTTCAGCGAAAAGTTGCTGATTGCTGCTTTTTAGATACGATAACCAACGCCGTAC